ATGTGCACTGTTAATTTGTTTCATGTACTTCTGAAGTTCTTACAGGCATTCCAACGTTTTGGAGTGCCAATGAATAACCTATGCAACCTAAAGTTTGTAGTAATAAAGTAGTATAATCGCATTATGTACATGTTGTACATGAAATGTGAATTAGTAGCTAGTTAAATGATATGCTTAAGAATCACAACGTCAATGCCTGTGTAAAGTGGTGTGACAGTTTACAAGTCCTAAATATGTAATATGTTTTTAAAGACAAACGAGGAGAGATATATATGGGAGAGATGCATGATGAAGAAGGGTTCGAAAAATACTAGACAAATACAATTTTAAATTATTTTCATTTTCTAAAGCTTTTATTTCATTCATTCTCCATTTCTCTATCTTCCCCTCTCTCCATTCTTTTCCCACTTTTACCGCAAGTATTTTTCTTCCATATCTCTATTTGATGAAATACAGATATAGTTTTCATTTCCTTTAATATAGGTAAGTATACTCTATTATTGCAAACAACGGTTTCACTTTGAGGGAAACAATATAGGTAAGCTACAAAATGAGTTTGTCAACATAATTATGTATCGAGTTTGTCATCATTATGAATTATATATGAAACCTCTCAAGACTAGTTCAGGATTGTTGTCCTTTTAAATAAAACCTATTTTTTTTTTTTTTTTTTTGTGTTTTGAAAAACAGCTATAAAATAAAACAATAAAGTTTGTTAAACTCCAGTTTTAAAAGTGCTTTTAGCACAAAAACAATGTATGAGTGTTTAGGAAACTTTTATGTAAATATGTTGTGATAGTATCAAATGACCAAATGAATATGGCTCGGTCTCCTAAGCTAGAATTTGCAAAGTCGTGAGTTATGGGCTTTCGTTATTTTTAGATCTCGATAGGGCTACTTCAAGGAAAAGGCTGAAGGAGGAGGAAATAGATTCACAAATCTCGTTGCTAAATCGCGATTGGAGGCAGAGGCTGGGCGTCGTGGTTTGCTTCAGATCCACAAATCGCTGGGATGAAACGAGTCGGCAACTATTTGTTTTCATGATTGGGATGGTGATGGGATTAGCAAAGCTATGGCAGATGAACACCGACACCACCCAATTTTGTAGATGAACAGCTCTCGCACGATAAAGAGAGAAAGGAAGGTAGGCTTTGGAATTTTGATAAATTCATTTGATAGGCACTGTTCACTCATGTTTTGGAATAAAAAGTCGGTTTTTTAAAGCTCTATTTTATTGCTTCAGCTTTTCGACCTTTTCATCTAAAATTATGAAAAATGCTGATTATAGGATGTTCATCAAACACTAAAAATGTCTCAAATTTTTTTTATATTCGCTTTTTTTTTAAATTTCAACCTTACCAAACTAGTATTCAGTAAGATGAATATCACTAGGCTGTAATGATAAAAGCATGTATTTGCATATTATAGAATAACATGGTTCACCAATGTAACGTAGAATGTGATTTCTCTTGTTCCAAGAAAAAGAAATAAACCCTAATTTTTCATGAACATAGACATGATAAATTGACCATGGAGAGTGAGTAGGAGACCCTCTTTTTAGCTGCCCTTGGATCTCTACTACGACATATGTGTGGTCATTATTCCCACATTACAAATGCTCGAGTTCATGCAAGTCTTTAATTGTGGGTCGGTCTCCCTCCAGAAAGCATGCAATTAAATAAAGGATTAGGTTTTTCAGCACAAGTCCACAAATGAGAGGACTCCATGGCAAAGAGTTCACACTTGGCAAGCACGCCACAAACACTAGACTGGCAGTATCTTTATCAAATTATTACCGCAATCTTAATATTTTAATCCTAACAAAGATTTGTGTTTCCTGATTAGGACAGTTGCATGAGAGAGAGACCAACCAAAGTGACCATGTCATCCAAAATGCCGGTTTTTATCGATGTTTGTTGGCGTTTAGGTCATGATTATGTCGTTTTCATTAGTACATTACAATACCCTTCAACAGATTCTCTGTTGGTATCTTTTTCTTGGAGGAGGATTCTCTATCTTCTTATTTAAACGGTTACGGTTAAGTCATATCAATATTTTATATTGATTTTTTATAGAGATAACAAGACAAAAAATAATGTGTGAGAGGAGGAGATGAAAGAGGATAAAAATAGGAGGGTAGAGAATCTTCCTCCCTTCTTCTTTCCCTGCAACTTGTAGCTACGAAAAGGGTTTCTCCGTCGATCTTTTATGCTTAAATATTTAGGGTATTTTAAAGTTGAGGTTTGCTTTTGACAAGTTCATTGGCAGCTGCCATTTTCTTATTAGTTTCTGTAAAGAAGGCGGGATACAGCTTCAGACTGCTTTCGTTTTTGTCAATATAATAGTAAGCCGGGTCAATCTGCTATACAGTTGCAAAACCTTGAATTATGCCATTAGTATTGTTATTCTTAAAAAATTTTAGTTTTCATATTCTCATGTGGGAGTCCAACACAAAAGAGTTTCTTCCAAAAAGAAAATTATCAAACCCGAAACAAGACTTGGTTCTATACGATGTCAGAATTTTTCATCCACTCTTGTAACAGTGAGTTGGACACAGAAAATAAATTTTTTTTTTTCAATAATAAAACACCAATCCCTGAAGAAGATTTGATTGTTTGCGATATATTTGCATCCACTCTTGTAAGAGTATGACATTGTGTCCAACCTAGAAAAAAGTTGTCCAAAAACAAAATACCAAACCTTAAGAAGATTTGTTTTTTTTTTTTTAAATATGTTTTATTACAAGCAATATTCTACAATAATTTACATTAAAAAGAATGAGAATTGTTTGAACACTCGAGGCCCACTGGATGAATAATTTACACTAGTGATAGCCTTTAAAGAAGATTTGGTTGTTTGTGATGCCAGAATCTTTCATCCACTCTTGTGAGAGTTTAACATAGAGCATCGAATAGAGAAAAGAGTGTTTCCAAAAACAAAAGACCAAACCCTAAAGAAGATTTGCTTTTTATATTACAAACGATATTCTATACTAATTTACATTAACGAGAGTGATGATGGCTTGAACTCGAGACTCAGTGATCGAAGGAAAATATCCTAACCACCAGAGCAATCCACTACTTGCAAAACAAGCAATAGCGTCTAAAGAAGATGGTTTTCTGCGATTTCAAAATCTTCCAGGCCAAAGAATTGAAATGATGTTGTGAAATAGCATTGGAACATCATGTTAAGGAAACATTCATCTATATCACTTGTTGATGTTAGATTCCACTTTCCCAATTCATTATTTGGTTATTGTCCTCTTATGGAACAAAATCATGATGCCATCCATAATCCACAAGATCTTTTCTTATATTTGGAGACAGGTTAAAGACAATTCCAAAAAAAATATATTATTAAGCATATAATCTCTTGAAGGGATACAATGCAATCTATCAAATTGTACAAAAATATGCCGATAAAAAATGGAAGGGGGAGATGGAATATTGCTTGCTCCCCATAGAGATGCAAATCTCTTAGTGCTCAAAAACACAAGTTGTTGAGAAAAAGTTGAAAAAAGGAAATGATTCTCGCACAATCTCTTTTCCGCATACACATTCCTGTTTATTTTTGGCATTTATTCAATAAAAAGAAAACTGTAGCAACAATGCCTCAACTAAAAATTCGTGACTATTGGTTCATTTCACTTATCAAAATATGCCGCTATGGTTTTTTTCGTCAACTCCATTAAAACTACTGTAAAAATAAGTCACGTGTCATACACGTGAGGTTGAATGAAGGAGCAAATATAAAAAACCAACTTTAACCCAATTGGAGCAATGATCTCTCAACTTTAACTCGATTGTAGCAATGATCATTCCAACATGACTAATTTTGACGGAATTCTAATGGAGTTGACAAAAACGACTATAGATGCACGTTTTGATGCGTTAAGGAACCAATGATCATAGACTTTTAGTTGAGAGACTATTGCACCAATTTGGTTAAAGTTGAATGATCAATTAAATTAAGGAGAAACGTGGGATAAATGAACAGGACGGGGTCGGGATATCATATCCTGGAAAAAAAGAAAAAGAAAAAACATATAAACAAGAGAATCGGTCAAAGAATCATTCAAAGTTGTCCATTTGCTGAGAACTGAGGGATTGATAGAAGCAGTAGCAGCTGATGGGCAGAAGAGTAGTGTTCCTTCGCCCATTCAAAGTGAGCCCAACAGGGTCCCAATACAAACAGAAACCATTTGAACTTCACGTGCCCCATGGACCCATCACTTTCCTCCCTCTCAATCTGAAACCAACGGCACCACGGCCAGAGGGCAGGCTTCAGTCTCCCTCATCCGATATGCAACTAGATACGGTGATATTAACATTATGACCACAATATGGATTCCAGGACACCAAACCTGAATCTGATCCGATCATTCATGTGACCAATAAACACGAACATGGGGGGTTCCGGAATACATACCTGTCATCCGTTGCGTCGAGGCAGAAGCAATAACTCTTACTATAAATGGAAGAAATCATAAAAATTAGATTAGAAAATGTTAAAGAATGGTAAAAGGTGGGATTGTGGTTACAACTGTTAGAAAAAGTGCAAAGATTTGTGAGATCTTTCTTGTGACTTTTTCACCCTTCAACTTGGCTTATGTGGTGTGTGTGATGACTACTCTCTTATAAACAAAAGACCCCAAAAAAGAAGAACTTAAAAAAGAAAATCTTAAAACTCTTCCACTCAAAGTAGGCAGTCTCCAGACGGATTCTAACAGATGAAGACGATAGGTTGACTCAGCCACCCAAACCCTTTTCTCCCCCCTTTAAATACCCTCCTCAACCATTTATTTCCTTGCCATTTGTACACCTCTCATTTTCCTTTTACCCTTTTCTTGCTAAGAAACAACTCAAAACATTAAGCTCCCTTCACCTTCTACTTCCTCCATCGCTTCTAACCGGGCAAAAAAATGAGGTATCCACCCATTTACTTCCTCAAACAAATGAACATGCTTATCATCGAAGGCTTCATGGTCCTGCTCGTGAGCTGCTTAACCATTAGAACGAACCCTTGTTCTCCAAACACTCCTTCGTTGAAAACACTTCCCCTCCATGGGCATTTCGACTTCCATGAAGTTCACCATGCAGCTAGAGATTTCGGCAACAGATATCAGTTCCTCCCTGTGGCAGTGCTGCATCCAAAGACCGTTTCAGACATTGCTACTATAGTTAAGCATGTTTGGGACTTGGGTCCTCGTTCGGAGCTCACAGTTTCAGCTAGAGGCCACGGTCACTCGCTCCAAGGCCAGTCGCAAGCCCACCGTGGAGTTGTCATCAATATGGAATCACTCAAAGGCCCTCAAATCCAGATTCACACCGGAAGTTCTCCATACGTGGATGCCTCTGGTGGTGAATTGTGGATAAATATCCTGCATGAAAGCTTGAAATATGGGTTAGCGCCAAAATCATGGACCGACTACTTACATCTAACTATCGGTGGTACTCTGTCTAATGCTGGGATCAGTGGGCAGGCATTCCGGCATGGCCCGCAGATCAGCAATGTCCACCAGCTGGAAGTTGTTACAGGTTTGTTAAACTAAACCAGCGGGGAGGGCAAACATCCGTGGTGATGGTGATATATCACCACGGAAGACAAGACCAACATCAAAGGTCAGACTTGCTCATGAAGCAAGTCATTACTTTGACCTTGGTCTCATGAATGATGATATAAACGAGTATCTATGAAATTTGTATATTGATCCCATACCATCTATTTTTACTAACAGATGAACTAAAAATGAGTGCAGGAAAGGGGGAGGTTGTAAATTGTTCAGAGGAGCAGAATGAAGACCTATTTCATAGTGTCCTTGGAGGGCTCGGTCAGTTTGGCATCATAACACGGGCAAGAATATCGCTGGAAGCAGCACCTGCAAGGGTAAAAGCTATATATCATTGAGGCTAATGTGTCAAAACTTAAGCTTCCAGGTGCAGTAGAAAGTATCAGTTGCTAACCAAAATCTCCATTTTTGTGAACAGGTAAAATGGATTAGAGTCCTGTATTCAGATTTCACAGCATTTACCCAAGATCAGGAGCATCTAATGTCTGCAGAAAATAAGTTTGACTACATCGAAGGATTTGTGATAATAAACAGGACCGGTCTGCTAAACAACTGGAGATCATCCTTCAATTCAAAGGACCCAGTTCAGGCCAGCCAGTTTAAGTCAGATGGAAAAACTCTCTTCTGCCTAGAATTGGCCAAATATTTCAACCTGGACAGGACTGATTTAATAACTGAGGTAAGCCACACAATGGCCTACGAGCAAGCAAAATGGTTTGGTGGAATTCGGTTGTAAGTTGACTATATAACTAACATTGCACTCATACATCTCTTGCTGGCATGCAGGAGGTTGATAACTCATTGTCTCAATTAAGCTATATCCGTTCAACGCTATTCGTGTCCGAAGTTGCATATATAGATTTCTTGGACAGGGTACATGTGTCTGAGATCAAATTACGCTCAAAAGATTTGTGGGACATTCCACATCCGTGGCTCAATCTTCTCATACCAAAAAGCAAAATTCACACTTTTGCTAAAGAGGTTTTTGGGAATATCCTTACAGAAACAAGCAACGGCCCCGTCCTCATCTACCCAGCTAACAGATCAAAGTCAGTTACATCAAATGTGTCATTATCTCCAAAAGTCCCTCCTATGGCTTGTCTTAACAACTAATCTCTTAATTCCATTTTCAGGTGGGACAGCAGAACTTCTGTTGTCATACCGGAGGAAGATATTTTCTACTTAGTGGCATTCCTAACCTCTGCAGTTCCCTCGTCAACCGGAACTGATGGATTGGAACACATCTTAACTCAAAACAAAAGAATTTTAGCATTCTGTGAAACAGCCAAGCTTGGGGTCAAGCAATACCTACCCCATTACGCCACACAGGATGAATGGAAGGCCCACTTCGGTCCACGCTGGGAAGACTTCGCGCAGAGAAAATCTGCTTACGACCCCTTGGCAATACTTGCTCCTGGACAAAGAATATTTCAAAAGGCAATACCCTTCTCATGACAGCTGCGACATGTAAATATTATAAAAGAATAGGCCCTAAAGGCATGTGGGGAAGTTCCTTAACCAAAAAGGTTATGAGCTACTTTATATCCACGAGCCTTATATGTGTAGCAGGGAGACTGCAAGCGTTTTAAGACAACGGGTAAAATACTTTTATACAAACTATAAGTCATAGTTGTAAAGGAACTGGAGAAACACCAGCTCCATAAGAGGATGTAAAAACGAACTCTTGTAAATATGGCTGAATAATATATGTCATCAATCCAGTTCATATCTCCGATATCTTATCGAATAATTCCTCTCTCCAATGAAAAGAAATAAAATAGTTGGAACAAAGCCGGGATCGATTCAGATGAAAGAAAAAACATAGCGAAATAAAAAGGAGAAAAGGACCCAGAAGAGCAATTAACCTGTAGTTGCAATCTTCAACTTATTGCCTCTGTCACCGTGCAATATATTAATATCATATCTTGCTGCAACACATCCGCTAATCTAGGAGAACACTAATTCATATGGAATTGTGGCAATAACTAACTTGGAAAGAGCTGGCAACTGCAACCTGTGGGAAGGGGCTTACACCTACAAAGCATTCATTCAGATAATAAAATGATAAGTACAATATAAAATGACATTAAAGCAATTCCTTTGGCTATGTTCCATTTGATAACTCTTAAACACCGTTATGCAATAATTCCTTCCCAGAACAGATTCCAAAGTTTAAATCAGCAATCGTCTGAACCTAGAAATTTGATCATATTCATGTGTGTGTGTATGTGAGTAAAATATATATAAATATGTAGAGAAATTAAATAGAGGATATGTTTCATTGTGAAGAACATAAGCAAAAACACCATCGCAGCAAGCAAGGGCTTGAACGGTATTGTTGGCCAATTTATTTGCGTAGTCAGTAACTTCATTGGAATTTTTAGGCAGGAAGTGTGTGTGTGTGTGTGTGTGTGTGTAGGAGTGTGTGTGTGTGTGTGTGTGTGTGTAGCAAAAGGAAATTGATAGAGGTTACCCTTAGACTAGTACTGAACTGCGATAAACCTGATATATAACAGAATATCATAATTACTGAATTGAAGTATGGAACATACAGAACAAATAAATTTACTGGTATTCACCCAACTAATTTGAAACAAAGATGCACAATCTTATCCTTTGTTTCCTTTTATTGGTTTTGGTTTTCTTGTTCTTCTCTTAAATTAGAAGACTCGCACAGCGTTACAGGCCGGCATCGATCTCAAATAAAATCACTTTATCAGGACCATTTTTCTCTACAAAGTGAGAATTTCCAGTTTAATGGTCCCGCTAATCATATGTAATATCCATGATTTTTCATACCTGTTATGTCAACTAAATAATACCAAAGTTAATGAAATTCTACATTTTCATCCACCTTCATGTACATTCGAAGTCAACGGAAAAAAAGATCTATCAAGTAAGTGAATTAAAAAAAAGGAGAATTCTTCCATCTTTGTCTCATAAAGTTAGAAACGTATTCAGTTGTTCAAACAATTCATGCACCGTTTTAATCACTGTTGACTGTACAACATATTGATTTTAAAGTTCTTTGACACCAACACCACCTTCATAATTACAAAATGCAGTGGTTGAGAATGGTTTCCTCTGTTTCAGAAACCACTCAAACACCAGTGACTCTCAGAAGACTAAAATCACCACAATATAAAGCGAAGCTTCAGCTTTACTCATGTTGTTGGACGCTAAGGACCCTTGCTTTTGAAGATGAATTTAAACCATTCAAACTTCTCACAACGTTAATTTGTTAAATAAAGAGAAGAGTTCAGTTATGAACACAAGTACTCTTTCCTTTTAAAGTACTCAAATATTGACAATATCATTGAATCCCCTTTTCAGTTATCTGTACAAACCACAGAATCTCAAGAACGATAAGGCTAAGTACCTCACTTACCTTAAATAGAATATGGATGTCTCACTTAAAAACTTTGATAATTCTAATGTTGCTTCTCCAGTGACTACAGAAAAAGCTGTTGGAAAATCGGACACAACAAAAAGGTCCATTTTCTATGAAAAGCACCAAACTTCAAGCATTTCATCAGTGCCAATTGACCAGATATACCGATAAGCATAAAAATAACTAGATATGAAAAGGATCTAACATATAAAAGAAACACTTACATATGCATTTCAGAGCCAAAAGTTTGTGGTCAGGGAGCGATTATTGCCCATGAAGGGCACATAATAAGTCAATGGAATGTGAGTGGGTAGGTTGCTTAGTGCACCAAATTGAAGTTGTAATACACAGGGTTCTGTCAGATCCTGATTCCCATGATGGTTGGATTGGACATACCTTGATATAGAAACAACATACTTAACAATACTAAGGGCCAGTTCGGTATTGTTGTGCTTTTATAAAAAAAATTGTTTTTACTGTGCCGTGGGAATACTAAACTACATGTTTGGTAATGGACATGTCGGAAAATGCTATTTATTTGTCTGTTTGGCAAAAAGAGCCAACTTTGACAAATTGTCTAAGAATTTAACCATAAAACAAAATATTGTGAACAAATTACTTCAATGTATTATAAACGTTAAAATTTAGAATAGATGCCTAAAATACCGTCAGCCACATAATAGTTCAAATATAAACTTCAGTAACCTGAAATTATACAATACATTAGGTCCTTGTATCAAACCAATTCACAAGAAGCCTCAAATAGCATAACAAGATAAGTTCACAAATATGATTCGTATGTACACTTTAATTACTCATGTTTGAGTTTACAAAGTCACCACTTGTTTCAAGATCTTAAACATTGGGATCCAAATGATCAGAGATTCATGTCGCCGACTCCAAATGAAAGGCCTACAAGCATTTGGGACCTCTAAAGTATTTCTTGCCACTTTCATTGACAGAAGTTTAATACTTTTGGAATGGATTATTTACACCATTGTGCTGTGAGCTTTCTTCTTTCATTATTTCCACGGGTAAGTTCTCCAACAACCAAGTGTGGCTTGTTATATCTAGGATTGTTATGATCACTTACCTCTTTGAATTTAACAATATTCGACGCTTCGATGATCTGTGGTTCATGATCCCCCCTTGCACAAGTCAGCTAACCATATCTACTTACGACGTCTAGAAAGAGAAACATTGTCCAGAAAAACGAATCAATTAGTGACATTGTTAACTAATAAATCGTGATGTCAAGAAACAAGACATGGCAACTCCAATGATTGACATAAATGTTGAGATGAGCCGAAGAAACATGAAAAATTCTAGCAATAACAACAAGAACGGATTGAAGTATGGGTTCGAACTCAAAGCTCGGCAAGAAAAACCTCAAGAACATCAGGGCTAGCTACATATCCGAATATAAGCTAAAATTTGAATCATCAAACACAAGGAATAAAATTAATAGGAAATTAATATGCCAAGGAGTGAATAAATTTTTTTCAATTGGATCAATTTCAAGTGGAGTATGGAAAATGGATTTAGAGCTGTGCAATTCAACAAACATAATCATAGATATATTCAATTGACAACAAAGAACCCTACTCCAAATCTACTGCACCCAAGTTAATTAACCCAAAAATAAAATCTCAAAAACTAGACTGAAATATTGGGTTCAGTTACCTTGTCTCCCAAGGACAACTGGAGCGAGAGAGCGACGGGAGGAGATGGGAGAGACGAACGACGGAACGAGAGCAAGGAGAAAGACAAGGATAAACGTTGTCATTTTCTAAAATACCTGAGGGTATTATAGGTAGTCCACTAAATACTCACGTAAACATTTCAGCCTCTATTATCATGCAATTCACCAACGTCAGGAATGAATGAGGATCCTCAAATTGTATCTGTTGATCGTACATCATACGATCAATTTTTATCAGATATTATTCATATTTAATTTTAAATAAAAATATTTAAAATAATTTCTAATCGCATGATTTATGATGAATTAACAAGATTTCCAGAATTCTCAAAGAATCAGGAATTAAATTCAAAGATGTGGCGTCTGAAATACAAGCGCAATACATCCCGAATCACTTGGACATGCCGAGGTGAATCATTGGGAGGTGTATCTAAGTTGCTCTCATTGGGAGGTGTGACAAACTGGCCAACAGCAACCGCCAACAGTCTCCATTTCTTGACAACGTGAACGCATAAGCTGCTGCCGCGTAGAAGGCAATTACGAGCACTGGCCGCTTGTTCTTCTTCCAGAGACAACGTGACCATTAGGGTACAGGAGTAGAGCGAGGAGGCCAAGCAAGTTCATTTCACGCCACATTCTCGTTTCACACGCCAAAACCCACCTCAGCAAAGATAACCCTTTTGCGTTCGTCGGTATAAGGTGTAAATTTGACAGCTTTTTTGGGTACACGTTTGGATTTGGAGCGTACCAATTAGAAGGAGCCAAAGCCAAGTCAGTCCACCCAACCGCGTCGGCAAACACAAAGCAGAGTTTGTTTCTTCTTCTTCTTTCCTTTCGCTTTGTTTGCGTTGATTCGTTTTGGTGGGCCTTGGATAGCCGCTGAACCTGCTCGCTAAGACTTCTATATGTTTTTGCTTTGCGTGTTGGAATGCAAATCTTGTGTGGGGTGATCTGAAACCCTCTTCGGTATTTGTTGAAATTTTGTGGAATCTGAATTGTCTTAGGGGAAAAGGTAAGTGGAAATTTGACAAAAGGGCTGTTTTTTTGGCAGAAAACTCACCAAGAATATCTCATTTTTATTGCGAATTGAGGTGATTTGATGGTCTGAGCTGTGCAGTTGAGGGTGTTGTGAATCTAAATACAAAATCGGAAGTGGGTTGTTTCAAACTTTGTGTGGTTATTTGAATTTAGGGAGTTTGGTTTTGCAACTTCGAAGAGCAAAGAGATCTTCTTGAGATAGGTTATTGACAGTTTGATTGTGGTTTCGCTTCTCGGAGAATATAATATTGGAAGCATTTCTAGTCTGTGAGCATTTGTTCGTGTAAGTGACTGTGCTAGTCTTAAGTTTCTCGGAGCGGAGTTTAGAAGAAAATGGTTGGGAGTACTGATGGACTGACCGATAAGGTCTACTCAAATGGATTGATTCACCACTCGAGTGATTCTGTTGAGGAGAAGCTTGATGAGCTTCGGCGACTAATGGGCAAAGCAGAAGGTGATCCACTTAGGATAGTTGGTGTCGGTGCAGGTGCTTGGGGAAGTGTATTTGTTGCTATGTTGCAAGATAGTTATGGTCATTTAAGAGATAAGGTCCTAATAAGAATATGGAGACGGCCAGGAAGATCTGTGGATAGGGCCACGGCAGAACATTTATTTGAAGTGATCAATTCAAGGGAAGATGTATTGAGGAGACTGATTAGGCGGTGTGCGTACTTAAAGTATGTTGAGGCAAGATTAGGTGACCGGACACTTTTTGCAGATGAGTTACTGAAGGATGGGTTTTGTGTGAATATGATTGACACCCCTCTTTGCCCAATGAAGGTTGTCACAAATTTGCAGGAGGCTGTGTGGGATGCCGATATTGTGGTGAATGGGCTGCCATCAACAGAAACTCATGTCGTCTTTGAAGAAATTAGTAGGTACTGGAAGGAGAGAGTAACAATGCCAGTCATCATTTCACTTTCTAAAGGTGTTGAGGCTGAATTGGAGCCTGAACCGCGCATAATTACTCCTACTCAAATTATCAATCGAGCAAGTAAGACTGATTCCATACTTTTCTTGAATTGTTGGCAATGTTTTTAGGGTCAATGCACTGGTAGCTAAGGTTTCTGACACCTATTTTTCCTTGAGCATTTCTTTTTCTTGGTTGTTTTCTATCTGTTTCAACATTTCTGGTGCTCTTTGATGCTGATTTATAGTTAGTGTTATATAATTGTTTAAATGATCCCTCCCTTGAGTTGAAGGCCTTGAGATTCTCAATGGGGTATTCTTTCTGATTAAAAAAGTGATCCTTATTAATTATTTTATGCCATTAGAGTGGTTCATACTTGATAAAATGGCTGTGTGCGATAGATATCCAATCAATTAATTTCTTGGTAAGCTTTTGACCTTGGCTATTCTCTTCTCTTATTTTAATTTGTACTGTTTTTTGCAGCTGGTGTTCCGAATGAGAACATTCTCTACCTTGGAGGACCCAATATTGCCTCCGAGATTTACAACAATGAATATGCTAATGCTCGGATATGTGGAGCTGAAAAGTGGAGAAAACCCTTGGCTAAGTTTTTAAGGCAACCCCATTTTATAGTGTGGGACAATGGTGACCTTGTTACTCATGAAGTTATGGGTGGCTTAAAGAACGTCTATGCCATTGGAGCTGGTAAGATTCTGTTCTTTACATATCCTATTTGATAAACGTTAAGAGGTTTAGAACTTTTCTTGAATTTAACCCTAAATGGTTGGACTGTGTTGCATATTAATGCGTGCTAGAGTGACTAATTGTCTTAGGCAATGTAGTTTCATGAATTACAAAAGAGAGGATAGTGAGAGAGAGACGACTTGTGAATAAGGAATTGCAAAAGATGTAAAATGCATTATGCTAAACCATGTCTCACTTTAGTTTTTGGCAAAGCTGAAATACGAGTAGGCTTTGATAATTAAACAAAAAGTGCTGCATTTTTTTTGGATCAAGCTCAGCTAGTCTTAAAATTGTTTCATTCCACATAATGATACACGGGCAATCCATATATATATGTGTGTGTGTGTGTGTGTGTGTGTGTGTGTGTGTGTGTTTTTGTTGAAATTTGGAATTATCTGCACTTCATTGACCGAAGGCTATAACAGAGTGACCGAGTCATGTTTAGACTCCAAAAGTTAATTGAATGCCTCACTATTTGAGAGCATGAGTTGTTGGTGGTTCAATTTTACCTCTTGATTCAGTGTCATATAGACCTAAGTATGCACGTTAGATAAGAAAATTTTTATGGACCTCAAATATCCGCCTCTTTCTTCAGTCCAGTGTTGTTGGAATTTTAAATTATCTGCACTTAATTACCTTCTTTAGTAGATCACATCACATGTCAATTGGAAGGTTGATATGTATCATCCTCATCCCTTATGTTGCCCTGATGTATGTTAAATATCTTGGAACTTTATATCGTGTACTAGTGCTATCCTTAGACAATGCGACAATTATAATCAGTTGATTTTATCTCACTTTTAAGAATGTTTATTTGAAGGCTTTAATGTTTAATCAATACATTAATCTTCAAATCATGACTTAACAGGAATGGTAGCAGCATTAACCAACGAGAGCGCCACAAGCAAATCAGTATACTTTGCACATTGTACGTCAGAGATGATTTTTATCACTCATCTGTTGGCTGAAGAACCAGAGAAGCTGGCAGGACCTTTGTTGGCTGACACGTATGTAACCCTGTTGAAAGGTCGTAATGCATGGTATGGACAAAAGCTGGCCAAAGGGGAATTAAGCCTTGAAATGGGTGATAGCATAAAGGGCAAGGGTATGATTCAGGTATGGTCTCAATCACCTTCATATTCGTGACTTCACGAGCATGATCTTTGCATTGTATTATTATTATCGTTCAATGAAATATGGGCTTTGAACATGAACATAGAGAATTGACCAATAGGTTAATCTTTGTGAGGATTATAATGACAAGTGATAGCAATCACGAATCACATTCCAAAGAGTTATTTGATAAAACGATCTTCTGATGGACGATAAATTATCAACATATTGGACCTTGCTGATTCTGCAGTTTAATGCTACATACAGTTGTCGCCTGAAGGATCACATCATATCATATCAAATATACAGTTTTTCTGTCGTGTGACTGCTTTCTGTTGGATATCTTGACGAAGAAAAGAAAAACTCTGTTTGGAGGTCTGCTGATGAGAATCCTACTTTTATCTTACAGGGTGTCTCTGCTGTGAAAGCCTTTTTTGAGCTGCTAAGTCAGCCCTCTTTAAGTATCCTACATCCCGATGAGAAGAAGCCGGTTGCCCCCGTTGAGCTTTGCCCTATCTTAAAGATGCTATATAGAATTCTCATAATGAGGTATTGCTTTTCTACGTTCCAAATGAAATTAAGACAACTGCATTTTGATCAAGTTGGTTGAATTTAATGTGAATCTTAGTAGAAGTGAATTTGATGATGTCTCGTTATGTATATCTTTAGGGAGTTCCCACCACAGGCTATTCTTCAAGCGTTACGGGACGAGACCATGAACGACCCTCGGGACCTTATTGCAATCGCACAAACCCATGCTTTTTACAGGCCATCTCTTCTTGGTCAGCAGCTTTGATGTGAATTCTCTCTCCTTTGCATGTAATTTTATTAGTTCTCGAGCAGGTAGCAAGAAGCACTGGTGTTGTAGTTTTGTTTGGCAGTCTGCCGGGGGAATAATGTCACAGGAGAACACTTGGCTGACGGTATGTTTGTTTTTGCATCCAAATTCAGTACCCCTCTCTGGCTCTCTGTTAGGGCTGTAAATCGGTTCGAAACAGTTCGAGCTCGCATGAGTTCGGCCCGTAAAAAAAAATCCAACCTAGATTGGCTTGATTTTATGACCAGCCAACCTTGAAAATTAGTATATTTGGTTTGTAAAGCTCGTGAGTAGGTCGAAATTTTTTTTTCGAAAGAGCTCGAAGTAAGGTTTGAGCTCGGCTCAATCCTTCACGCTTGATACGTAATAAAATATATGAAAAAATGACATCCAATCTTGATTAAACGTGGTGTAATCATATTATTTTTATTTGCGTAATACGTATTTGGAGGCCGAAGTCAAACTAACTCAACTAACAGTACAAATTGGCGCCCAAAGAACCCTGAACTTTCAAAAATAATGTCTACTTGGAAAGGATTATGCTTCTTCCCTTAAAGTAGCGTGTTTGAAAGTTCTGGATTGAACTTTTTATGTTTTATAATTCTATTCTTGGCATGTACTGCCATGTAACAAATTTTTTTTACACATTCTAACCAACTTACAATAAAAAATAGCTTGAAATAGTTTGAGCTCGGTATCAAGCTTGAACATATTAAGCTCGCTAGCGCTCAACTCATATAAGAGCAAGCCAAGTCTAGCTCGAATTTGATAAATATTAAACAAGCCAAATTTAAACACATCGATATTCAATTCGACTACCTCATTTATCACCATTCTCCTTGTAATTTAAAACTTTAAATTAGATTATAGTATCGAGGTATGGCTACAATGTTACGTCTCAGTCAATGGTACATATTATAAAATTAAACCGTTTGATTATTCTGATCACTAAGTGATACTTTTAGTGAAAGAAAAATTAAAGTATCGTTCGAATATGAGATAATTAAATATACATAAAATTGTAGCAAATGGTCCTTATGACTTTAACCCAATTGGAGTAATGGTTCCTTAACTAAAAATTCATGACCATTGGTCCCTTAACTCATCAAAACGTGTTGCTATGATCATTTTCATCAATTCCATCAGAATTCCAACAAAATGACTCATGTTGGAATGACCATTGTTATAATTTTGTTCATTTGGTTTTCTATATTTGCCCCTTGATTCAATCTCACGTGCATAGCACGTGACTCATTTTGATGGAAGTTTTAACGGATTTGACGAAAAAATCATAATTACATGTTTTGATAAATTAAGAGACTAATGGTCAAAGATGAAACATTGCTACAATTTTCTTGTTAAATATTAAATATGATATCCAAATTTATGCCAAAAAGTAATAAAGAAAAAGAAAAAGAAAAAAGAATATTGCAGAAGGAGCAGCGTTTTCATTGCCGAGCAGGCCACTAAAATAACAGCGGAGACGGAAGAGGGGCATAGAGTGAAAGAGTGAAAGAGAAAAGCCGAAAGATGTCGTTGGTGGACTACCCATCTTCAGACGACGACGTACCGGAGGAAGAGGAGGTTAGGGAAAACAAGGAAAACGAGCCACAACAAGAAGTTCCCAGGGACAATCCGAGTCTTCCGACTCGTCCTCACACCCAGTAATTTCTTCAATTTCTTTTTTAAATTTGAAATCTTTTACTTCTTTCGAATATATCACTATTTTGTTATGATTTTATTTATTTATATGTGATATTCTTAGTAATTTTTATTGTTTTTGTTTTTGTTCAATTTGTAGAAAAAAAAAAATGTGTTGGGATGCTGTTATTTTTGCGTATTTGAGTTGTAAATAAGAAAGGAAAATTCAAGGATTATGGGAAGAAGCATATTGTAATTAGCTTAATTACAATGAGGGTTATATCCCCTCTTTAGGAAAATTTAACTTTTCCTTTTTAGAAACGATATTCTACACTAAATTCATCTAAACGATATTCCACACTGCTATAGTCAACTTGGCTAACTCCCAGTCTGCCGGAAAATTAAAACTTAGAGATAGGCACAGTGTAAAAGAGAATTCCATGTTTTTGGTCTTTTATTTTATTATTTTGAATTTTTCTTGGGTTTCTATATTGGTTGACAGAATGGTGTTGCATAATGTTGTAGTGAAAGAGGGTTTTTCTTAGCAGTCCTAAATTTTTACAGCTCAGAAAACAGTCACAATGTTTTATATAAGCTTCTCCTTCCTCGAGTTGAATTTTAATTTGATATATTTTTTTTTTCTGTGTAATAGATCAGTTGTTTTATCACACCAGCAGCCGGAAAGTTCTGCCCGTTCATCAGCTCCTTCAATCCAGCAACTTCCTGATGCTTCGCTGCTCTTGAATTCACCTGTTTTCTCATCCAATATGGTGAGTGGCGATGACCACTCTTCTCGTGTTGCAGCTGCAATGGCTGAGAGTTCATCGCGCAAGAGAGAGTCGAATGCATTCGCTTCCTCTGTTCCCCGCAGTAAAGTTCCTAGAGGTAGTTTGCCTCATTCCAAGAATGTTCCAGATACAGTTGGTGGTCTGCTGGTTCCGCCTCAGCTTAGTGGAAGGTCAGTTTCAATATCTGGAATTTAAATTCTGCTTTTGTTTAACTGTTTAGCTATACTCACATACTCTTTTGTATGCTTTCATAACTTGCAATATGAGCTTTAATTTCTTGAATATTGCATCTTAAGTTGCTTAATCTGAGTAATCACAACTTCAGAATTCATGTAGTCATGATTTGGGATTTAAATGCTAACTTGCTATGTTGTTTTTGGAATCCCAACTAAACTTGGGTCACATAGAGATCATGCTATGACGATATTGAAAGGGAAAAAAAGTTTGTAGATTTGTGTTAGCAATGAGTTTTGGTGAATAAATTATACGATTACAACGAGTGAATAGAGTTTGAAGTTGTACTTTAAAGTTTAAATTAGAAAAATTTATCCCTCATAAGTTCAAAACTCTTCCATATTCTCTGCAGTTACTTGTAATATTTACATGAGAGAGCTTCCATATTCTCTGCAGTTACTTGTAATATTTACATGAGAGAGCCATATGCTGTATAACTTAAGACTTTTAATGAAATGGACTCCTTAATTGGGTAAAAGTTGCACACATGGAGTGTGCAGTAGTGGCTTAACACTTACCAGTCATGATGACTTAGTTGAGTGGACTCATTTTAAGTTGGTCTGTCATAAGAATCCTGCTCCACTACTCTATATTCTTAGGGTTCTGCTGTACTTGTATTGGTTCATCCTTTTGCCCTTGCTTTTACGTGAAAAGATGTATTTGGGTTGCTTACTACCGTGCCATATTTGATTCTGTGACTGGATACGTTCTTCATGGGATACTACTCGGAAAACATTTGTTAAGTCTGTCAAGAGCCAGGTTTGTGTATTTCAAGGTCACTCTGCATGAATCTTGCTAAAACGATGGCTATGTGAAAGAATTTGTAGGTATAGATCAAATACAATTTTCTTGTGTTTGGTGAAGTTTGGAAATTGATTTGAATTCTAAAACTGTTGGTCCTTTTTCTTCCTGATGCTGGCAATCCCTGAACTTGGCGTATTGTATCTGTTGAGCAACATTAAATATGCCAACTTTGTTATACGTCAGAGTTTTCGTTCTCATCATCATTTTTTTCTCTTTTTTGGGTCCAGGAGCAACATTGTTACAGAAGATGTAGGAAAGCTATTTGTCAAAAAGCAAGCTGACCATTCACCAAAGTAGACGATATCTAAAGGGGTGATGACGTAGTAGGAGTCTTAGATTATGTGGTTTCTTTTTGTTGTTTTGGAATGAGAGTCGGGATAATGTCTTTCAGAATCACATCAGCTACTGAGGATTTTTGTTGTGTACAATATAAAGAATGTTAGAGGACCCTTGTATTGTATTTTTGTTCTAGCTTGCCTAAGTTGTGTCGCAACAGTTAATTAGTTCTGGATCAATGAGTCAATGACAATTACGTTTTGAGAGATATCCAAAAGTAGATTTTTCACCTTCTGATGTTTTTTTTTTCTTTTCCTTTTTTTTTGCATTTATGAGGCATAGTTGGCCGTGAGGCACTGGAGTTGTAGCTTGTGTGTTTCTGGAACCATGACTCAAAATTTAAAGCATGTTCAATGTCTTGTCCAATTTGATGGTCTATTTCCCTTGATCTGATGAAGAAATTGTTTCCTTTGGTCTGATCAAATGGCTTACCCTTGGATTGTTGCTCATAGAAAAAGCAAACCCTTCTTGAAAGGTGGTATTGGAGTATTCATGGTATGGCTGGTGATATCATCACTCTTATTAGTAGAAGTTCATCTCCGAACGGAGTTGTATAGTAGGTAACAAACCCGAAAAGAAATGTCCCCTAGACTTTTTGGGCAACAAATTTTCTCTGTGGAAATTAGATTAGGAAACGGTTTTTCATTCCTTTTAACTAGAAGAAATAGCTTCTCGTTCATTAGTTTAAGTTCGATTTACCTATAATTGTATGTAAATGACATTTTTGTACACATTTTATGACTGCAGTGCTGTAATTTCCAATACTCTTTTCTTCTTGTTACTGTTTTTATTCATCTTCACATGAATTTTCAGTTCTTCACCCCTAAATATTGATTAATACTCACAATTACTTGATACCGTCAAAAGAAAACTACGAGGCCTGAGCTTCTCTTGGCAAGAAGATATTCTTCTCACAGAGGGATGGCTTGCAACCAGCATGGATGTCGTGCCCATAAAAGGTCAATCAAAGATTACTTATTGGGGGCGAGTGACAGATTATTTTCACAGCTACAAAACATTTGCAAGTGATCGAGAGGAGAAGTCACTACTACAACGGTGGTCAACTATTCAACAAGCAACCAAGAAGTTTTGTGAGTATGTTACTCAAGTGGAAGAGAAGCACAAATACGGTGTGAATGGGCAAGATAAGGTAATCTTCTTTTTCTCAATGTTATTTATGGTAATCACAGTTTGGTAGATTTACTAATGATCTTTTTTTTTTTTCTTCTTTGGGCAGTATTTTTATGCGAAACAGTTATACGAAAAATTGGAAAAGAAAAAATTTCCTTTCGATCATTGTTGGAAGCTGTTGAAGGATGCGCCAAAGTGGTTGGATGATATGCGGAAGCCCAGGAAAAAACCAACAAATAGAGGAAAAGGTACAAGTCTCGCTCCTGAATTCTCTTCTCCTTCTACTTCAGAGAGTTTGATAGGTCTTGTAGAGGACGACGTCCCA